TCGAGCGAAGACTCCCGTTTGTTTCCCGACCGGCAGGATTTAGTCTCGACTCGTGCATACCCCATCGTGCATCTTCCAACACAAACAACCGAGATATTGTTTTCGCGTGCGCGGTTTTCTTCGGTCGTTAGGGAAGATTCCGACGAGCTACTCCATAGGGAGTGAAGTGGTTCAGGGGAGAGAGTCCTTTCCATACACAATTCCTGTACCGTGTCCTCCCGTTGCGTGCTCTTTAATTGAAAGTTGTTCGATGCTCGCGTCAAATAGGGCAGGAACGTGTCTACTTGTTAATTTCGACGAGTTTCGTTGACTCCTCCAAATATTATTCTTAAGTATTTCTTAAATAAATTTCTTAAATAATATTCAATACGACCTTTGTGCATTCGTCTCATTCATTTTCGTAATCTTTAATTGATCTACTATTGTTTTCGATTCTTCCAAATGTGTCATTTTTCGAAATCTCTCTATTCTATCCATCGTACTCTCTGAAATACTATTCATACTGGTGAAAAAAAAAAAAAAAAAATTCGTAAAAAGATTCTTTGTCAGACTATGAGAGAGCATCGGGCAAAGAGATTTCTTTTGAATATTCAAACTCGTGAATAGAGGGATGATTCTATCCCTGCGAATGAGATACGTAATTCTTTTCAATATTATTTCAATAATTATGAGATCGCACGAAAGATTGCGAGAGACTTCATTGTCCTTCTCTGTCGTGGACTAGTACGTGCGACCATGTTGACAAATAGATACGTTAGAGAGAAAAAAGCGTTTGAAAATAGATATTCCCCCTCTCCACTTTGAGCAATCAGACATACGTATTCCCCTTCGTGAAACTTTTTTCCAACAGTGGAACAGTAAGTACTTAAGTATAGTAAGTGCTTTGATAGTAAACACATGTCGAGACTGCATCGCGTCTAACAGAGGTAGATAGAATTCTGAGAATTGGAGTCACGTTCTTTAGCGAAAATGGGAGACAATAAGTTTGAATAAGATAAAAAGAACGTGAACTATTCACGTTCGACTATTCGCTAACATTGATGCGCGGCATTACATAAATAAGTAATAAGTTGAAATAGATATATTTAAAATTATATAAGGTATATATGATTCTACGTATAAAATTAATTCGAAAAAGAAATTTTTTTTTAAGACCTCATTTTTGAATAAATCGAGCTTGGAAATTTTTCACATATAAATCAAATTGGCTAATTTTTTATTGAATTCATATTCTATTATGTAATAAAAGAAAAATAAAATAAAATTTTGTTACTTATGCTTGTTTTTGAAAAATCGAAATCGAGAAGACGAATTTTCAAATTCGTTCTCTAAAATTAATTTTTAAATGAAAGATTAGATAAAATTATCTTATTATTATTATTAGCCAATTTCTTATTTGTGTTTAAAAATTATTCAAATTAATCGAATAATGAAATCTTAAATAAAAAATTTTTCGACTTATTTATTTTTATATATGAAACTATATAAACCACGTATAAACCAGCCAATCACTTGTATCACGATTTTAGAAACACTCTATATGAATGGTTATGTGAATGTTTTACTACATGAATGTTTAAATAAAGTTCTGAAAAGTTAATATGAAATTTTGAAGAGAAATAGGCAAATATAAAATTTTAACTTCATTTATTTTATTATTTAATGAAAAATTTTCATTAAATTGAATTCTAAATGTAACTAATAACTCAACTTGATTTGAAAGTATGGAATTTACAATAGAAAAAGATATAAAGAAATATAATATATAATCGATATATAATCGGTATATAATATGATATGATATGATACGATAGTGAAGTATAAGATAAACCAAAGTCGTTTTATACCTGTATTATAGTAGTAAAGAAAAATAGTATAAAAAAAGTATAGTAATAAAGAAAAATGAGAGAAATATATTATTAAATATAATTATTTACTTACATAACTAATAAAACTGATCTCATTTTCACGAGGAAAATATCATAAATCGATATAATTTTTGAAAAATTAAATTAAAAAATATGGAAATTTTATTTTTGGTTGAATTAATTATTCATCACGTTAGTCACTTATTATTCAAATTAATTTTTATCGGTTTTCGTAATACTCCGTATATGACTATTTGAATTAATCATCATTTTCTTATATGAATAATTCTAATGTCACATCAATGTTGACAAAGCAAAAATTTAATTATCTTGCTTCTCTTGATTATATTTATATTGATATTTATGTGATTTTTTATCTAATTAATTATAATCTAAAAAGAAACATAACACGACTTTAAAACAAGGATTCTTTTCTAAGGATTATCAAACCAATTCAAAAGTCATATATAATTATTTAAATCAATGAATTCGTCAAGAATTTCTATCATTTTCGTGTATATTTTGAGATTTATATAGAATGTTTTCAAAATAGTAATGTAATCGAAAAAGAGCTGATTTCTAACAAAAAATAAAATGAAAATTTTTATTGTGAGACTTTATTTTCAAAAATATCATGTACGAAAATAGCACATGCTTGAATATAACATATAGAATATATTCGTTAAATATAGAATATATTATTACATATATACAATTTTATGCAATAATATTAATAAATAAATTTCAAGAATTTATTCAATTTAGTTTACAAAATATTAAAAATCGAATATTAAAAATCGAATATTGAAAAGAAAAAATTTTTATTTCTAAAATATTAAAACAAAAATTTAAAGTAATATTTATCCATATGAGAAATGTTTTTTTAGAAAATCAAGTTTGAAAATTTGTTGGAATGTACTAAGATACAAAATCTCCTTCGTAACCATTAATATTTATATATGTTGTTTATAAATAATGTTAGTTTAATTAATTTTAAGAATTGATAAGCATTTTTATTTTCTTAGTTTATAATAAATTAAAAATATCAGTTTTGATATTCCAGACAAAATTTAGTCAATGAATTAGAATATCATGAATTGATAATAATGTATTCAAATTCTTTGCTTATTTAAATATTTGAACGATATTATCTTTTAATTTATGATGATTAGATATGGTTATTTTTTTTAATTAACTACTTCTTTTATGACTTCACAAACTTGACATTAAATTGTTTATAAATACAACGACGAAATGACAATGACTAGTCATATTGAGTGAACAAAATAGATTGTGTCTAATTGTAAATGCACATGTACAATTAACGAATTTTAGTCAGTTGATGAAAATATTATATCAATTAAAATTATAAAAGAAATATCATATCGGTATAAAAATTTTGATTATGTCCGAAATATTTTGAAATTTTTTATTCGTGAATTATTTGCAATTATTTCTTTTTCATAAAGATAATATAATTTTTTTTTCAATTATTATACTATAAATTTTTATCTTTGAAAGTCAAACTGTGAAACCATTGTCAATTATAATTATTGTATCTTTTTTTTTTAAATTATTATTAATAGTACTATTAATTATTAATATTAATTAAATGTTATAACTTTTTTCAAAAACAAATGAATTATTATCATTATTAATATTAATTACACTATTATACTATAGTTATATTATACTACATATATTATACTATATACTACATATATTATAGTATAGTATAAATAAGTCTAACTATAATACGAGAATTAGTAACTATAATAACTTTATTATATTATATTATATTATTAATTAATCCTAATATGTATTATTTTCTTATACAATTTCTTGATTAATTTCTAATAAAATACTAAAAACTATATATTTATATATAGTTATATAAACTATATATGTATATATTTCTGAAATCAACTTACAAATCGATAACATTGACTTTTTCAACAAAAAATCTTATTCCATTAATTCCCATTCTTTTAAAATCAAAAAAACTTTCGTTTCGGTTTTCATACCACATTTTATATATCAAAAAAATTTTATTCTATATTTTCGTTTTATTTTCAGATCAAAGATCGTTCCTTCGATTGTGCCAAAATTTTAATAACACCCTGTACATCGACCGTTACATTACTCGAGCACGTCCTATCAAGATTACCACGCATCACCTGCGTTCAGGGACACGAAAACTATCACCAAGCAGTTGAATATCATAGCTGTCTTTGGCATAATAACGAGCACGCGAAATCTGCATATAATAGATTATTACGTATAAAGAAGATAGACACGGAGCCGTTGTAAAATTCTTGCGACTATGAAAGCTTCTGACCATCGCTGAAAAAGCTTAGTGAACCGATAAACACCAGAGGATAGAGGATATATAAATACGAGATAATCGATTCTGCAACAGGAGAACTCTATCGTAAGCCAAATCCATGTATAGAAATCAATGAAACCGATAAACGCATCTTTACGACGCTTCGTTTCACAATTTAGTTAATATTATAATAGAATAATAATGTTGTTACATTGATTATAATATTGTAAATTATACATCTTATAATAGAATAAATAACATATGTATAATAAATGTATTATATTATATTAGTTGCAATTCATATTATTGAAATAATTAAAGAGTTTGTGCAAGTTTCATTTAGAAAAAATTAACTTTTCATAATATAATAGTAATAATACTTTATTTATGGATATAATTGGAATTAAATAATAAAAAGATTGTCAATAAACGGAAATTTGAAATGCTGTTACAAGTAAGTTCTTAAGGGTTATTGTTATATGAAAAAAGTTCATATTTATGTAGACATAATATGTAGATATATTATGTAGACATTCATAGATAGTTATTCATAGATAAATATAATTATCAATATAATTATTTGAGTCTAACGATATGCAATATGAAATAATATAAAAATATTTTAAGTACATAAAATTTATATAGTTTTTAATATTACAGAAACAACAGAATCAATAAGTTGATTCTAAATTTTATAAATTAATACAATCAACATATATAACACTGTATTCTTTGAAAATTGCAACAATCCTTCTTATATAACATTTATATCATATTTAATCAATCTCAACAATCTTAAAACAAAAACAAATTTAAATAACCCAAATAACCTTATATGAATACACAAATGTTTCCATCATACTGTTTTTGTTTTTTTTAATATTTGTATAATTCTCTGATTTATTTGTTTCGCATCATTTCAATATAAAACAAATTAACTATGTTGAAGATTGACTGTATATATAAAATCGATTATCATTCTTCTCTATTTAAGAATGCACACTTCAAATAATTTATGAATATTATTATAATTATGACATATAATATACTATAGCAGTGATACTGATATAATCGGATTATTGTTAATTATAATAAATAGAAGACTCTGATAAAGATAATTTAACTTTTCAAATATAAAAATCGAATATACAAAGTGTTTCACTTACTATTTGTTAATTGCAGTTTTAATTAAGAAGACGCATAATACTTCATTCATTATCGATTAAATAAAATAAATCACAAGATTATTAACCAGATAGTGTAAGATTTTTAATTACTGCATTATCGTGATCAATGTAGAAATGATGTAAATTAGATGTAAAAATAGACGTACAAGCAATAGAATCAAAAATAGATAATATACTCTTGTATTAAGAAAATAATCTTCTATTGTTTTAATCACATAAATGGCGATATATCAATATCAAGCGATAATTTCAAACATTTTTTGTCCATAAAGTGATAAAATAATGATTAATTAAAAAAATAATAGATTATTAAATTTAAAATATAAAATAATTTGGATTTTCAATAATAAATAATAATCTATATAAATAATTCTATATAAAGAAATTCTATTTTATTAATCAATAATTTTTTTGTTAACAATATTCTTACCAATATTTTTTATTATATATATTTATCAAATATAAAAGAATTTATAATATATAATTCTTATCTTAAAATCATATTTTTTATTTATTGTTATAAATTATGACATATTACATAATATAATTCATAATCTATTCACAGAGAACTAGATACTAGATATATCTATACATTATATTTTGCATGATTAAACGAATTTTTGC